CTGGCGTCACAGAGGTGCTGGCCACCACAGACACAATCATAGGGGCAGCCAAGAGCAGGGGGAAGCTCTTCCTCAGGGAGAAGGTGCAGAACTTCTGACTCAAGATAAAAAGCTGTGAAAAAAGGGAAAAAGCAGCTGTAAAAATCAGCTAACTTGAAACTGGGAGAAAGCATCAGATACGACTTCTAGTAGCTGATGCTGACATTGCCGACACCTTTTGTTTGAAGAGTTAGGCAACTCTGTCACTTGACAGTGTCGCGGGGCACTTCCAAATTCTTGCAGCTGACATGGGCAGCTGCGAGCAGAGGACATCACTGAGTCCTGACAGTGACGTCTGCTCTCAGCTGCCTGCCAGGCAGCAGCAGCCAGTGAAACTAGCGACACCTGACAGTGACAGGAGAAGGCAGGGAGCTGAGCCTGAGAAACAAACTAAACACGATAAAATGAGGCCTACATTCATATGATTCTAAGAGTGGAAATGTTCACAGATTCAATTTTTATTGCCCCACAGTTAAAGAAAAATAAAAATTAAAGACAGGTGGTAGAAATGTGGAGTTAGAAATGTAAATACTGATAACAACTGGAGTTTTACAGCAAGTGCTCTTAGAAATAACACCAAACCTGTCAAGCACCATCAATGAAAAAAAAAAGTATTTTAAAGCAATTTAACTGACCTATAGTTTGTTTTTCAGTTGTAGATGAAAGGTGTCTGCATTCATGACTAATCTGTCTTTCTTGTTCTTCTTCTAACATTCTGTTTGCATTTGTGAAGACAGAAGCATAAACTATGACCTAGGGGCTTCTGTGTGATGCTAGCAAACTAGAACAGAAGAGAATCAAAAAAGATATTTTAATCACACTTTATTAAAAGAAAGAACATGGAATATATTCACAAGTTTTTTTTTTTTTTTTTTTTTTTTTTTTCTCTAACCTCTGGTACAAATTGTGTACAATAAAACTTTTATTCCTGAACAACATTCCAAAATTGCTATCTTAAATGTAAGTGGTAATTGCATTATTTTTAAGTAACAGATTTGTAAGTTTATCTTCTATTACTATAGAATAATCCAATACACACTGTTGTAGCTTGTCAAATCTCAATGAACAGGATTGTGCTTAGCATAAGGCAGTGTTAACAGCTCTTGATGCAGGCCGGTATTTGTACCAAAAAAGTGGAGTAGGGACCAAATTCAATTTTGATGTAATGTTTATCTTAGTTTATAACACTGCTGAATTTGATAATCTGTATTGATTCATAAACTTCAGTTGTGTATCTTCTATTTGTAACTTTGCATTCTTTAACTTTTATTAACTTTTATTAACCAAGCTGAAGTGAAAATAAAATTATTTGAAAGTTTTTTGGATAAATAAGAAAGGAAGGAAAGAAAGGAAAACCACTTTCAGAGCATATGCACCATAATTAATGATGGTTTAATAGGGAAACTCGCTCCTACAAAACCTGATGCTTCTTATGGTGAATACTGAACAGAATGTATGTTTATGGAATATTTGACATGAGAGTTTTTCAATAAAAATAAACTCAATACTTCTTTGTACTTTGCTTTCACTTTTGAAGTGCACAGTCTGAGCTATTTTGT